GGTCCTTGGTCTCCTTCCTGACCTCTCGGTCCTTTTATTCCTCTTTCTCCTTTTTCGCCTCGATCACCCTGCGGCCCAGGTGGTCCAGGCTTTCCTAATGCTCCTTTTGGTCCTTCTGGACCAGGAGGTCCTACTTCGCCTTCATCTCCATCCCGTCCATCTCGCCCTGGCGGACCTGGCGGTCCTGGCGGTCCTCCTCCTCCTTCTGCTCCTGATGATGGGCAAGCCTAAAAATAAAATTTGCGCACAATTTGAAAGAAGCCATCACTTGTACCCTTTCTAATTTAAAAAACAATTTATTAGGAAAGTTACCTGGACTACAAAAGCAGCACAGATAACCAACAAGACAGTGCCAAAAAAATGCATTGGTATTGACAACCTGAAATTCGTTTTATGCTAACTAATTATGACAAAAGATTGACAAAGTTTTAAAATTTTCTTCAAAATCTTTTATTTTTATCATTCTGAAAAATCGGAGAAAAGAAAAAATAGACGACCAAAAGAGGGTTCAGATTCCTTTAGAATATCATTCGATAACAGAAATCCTTCAAGCGAATTTGACGAGAAATTTTATTTCTGTTGAGAAGTTGGATGTCTGATACGAATCATTCCGGAATTCGGAAAACAAAGAAACATTTAAGAATTCTTTGCGGAATAACCGTATGGAATGCTACAAAATGCAAAATTAAATGATTATTGGTGGTGTACATGAAATAAACGATGAACGGGAAGAAGATTCAGTTGACTGATAGATGACCAATATTGATATAGAATCTATTAGGATGGATAAAAGAACAGATTTTAAGCTCACGAGAAACAGAAGTGAATTAAGTGTCTGTTCTATGCCGTTTATTTAATTACTGGTAGAGAAGATAGTGATAGTGCAAGTTAAATTATCTTTTATAGTCTGGAAGTTAGTCTGGTTCTGATAGAAAGTCAGTCATAATAGAAAATCCTAATCGGAAGTAAGAAAAGCAGTAAGAAAAAAAAAGACATAAAACTGATATAATATAATTAAACGTATTGTCACTTCATCATTGATAATTCCATTTTTTTGTTAAAATCATGATTATTATAATGAGCGCCTGATCTAAAGTAATAAATTTTGAGCGAATTTGGTTTACGAAAAGGACTATCTCTTTGAGAGAGCTATCTCTCTCAATGATATTATAGCAACACGAAGAAATCATGACAAGGAAAAAATTTAAAATTGTGAAGCGCAGCTTTCTCAGCCTAGCCTTAATGATGTAATTCTCAATCCATATGCATAATTTTATCACAAAATTTCAGATTTTCCGACAGTTGCTATAGAAGTACAGAATTATGAAATACAGGCAGTGTAACTTGAAGAAGGTAATAA